ATGTACGTACAAAAAAGCAATTCTATCATCAAGTTGAAATTCAAGACGTGCGACTGATTCAACATTTTTTTATTGAACTCAGATTTAAATTTTAAATACAACCGAATAAACGATGTTCTTATTCACTATTAATAATATAATAATAAATAAATTGTATTAAAGAATGTGTATACCAGGGGTTATTCCAGATATTAATCCTAAATTAAAATTAAAAGTTTATCAGGATTTTTAATTAAAAAATTAGTTAGATATAAATAAATTTAAAGAATACGTTCTGAGGAAAAAATGGTGAGAACAAATTCTGCAAAAATGCAAAAACGTATTTCAGGGTATCTTCAGGGTTTTTATTAGGAGAACGTAAGTTCTGATATGTAAGTTATATCAATATTAATATATTTCATTATAAATTTATATATATATATATATATATATACATATATTTATATAAATATAATTATATAGCTCTGCATTTTGTAGTTTAGCAACAAATTGCAGAAATCAGACAAAAAATGTAGATAATTATATAAAAATTATATGGTTAATATTTGCAATAATATATATATATATATATATAAATATATATATATATATATATATATATATAAAATATATATATATATATATAATTTGCTTTGGTACGCTAAAATGCATGCACAAAATTTTGAGCCTTTATAAAACAGTGCTTGCCAAAAACTTTAAAAGACCCACATATTGCATAAATACTTATGGTTTTTTACTTGCAAAAAATCACAAAATATTTTATTTAAAGTCATGTATTGAATTCTTTATATTTATTTTTTCTAATGTAAAAAATTCTGAAGTTTTTGTATAAACTAGTTCAAAACCAATTCGATTTGTTAAGACTGAATAAAAACTAAACATATTTTTTTTTTGAGGCAAAAAGGAAGTATTTGGTACATACTTTTCAAATTCGGTATATTTTGGGTTTCAACGTAAAATGAAAATTTATTAAGTTCTATAAGTTTCGAGGCAAATTTTAAGGCAAAAATGATTTGATACATACTTTTCAAATCGGTATATTAAGATTTCGAACAAATAAATGAGAATTTACTAAGTTCCATAAGTTCAAAACATTTATAAAATTGTGGTAAAGTATTTGTATATAAATTCTAAATACAACTATAATATTACAACAACTGTTCATAAACTTTTGAATTTACAAATTTGCAAATTATTATGTTGTAATTACTATCTAAATTTTTTTCTAACAATAAGAATTATTAATTCAGGCTCTTGTCATACAAATATTTGTTACACTAAAACTAAAAATTCAATTATGATCAGATTCTTTGTTTAAAAAATGAGACAACTTTCGGCAAAAAGTCTTTCGAAAGCACAATATTAAAACATTTATTATTATCATATCCTGATAAATATTTCCTCGCTAAATTAATATATATCATTATAATATATTAATAATTCTAATAATAAAAAAATATTTTATGCCGCATAGTTTAAATAAAAAAATAAATAAAATTGAAAAAATGTTCTATAAAATCACAGTCTAAATGCAGCTGCAAATGCGTTTGTCATTTATGGTATTTTTTTGTATATCTGTTTTTATTTTATTTTTATTTTAACTTTTTTATATTCAATTTATTGTATTTTTTGTATTATTTCTTTTTTTGCACATATCAATTTGTAAATAAGACATTAAAATCTTGATTAACAAAAATAAATTATAACAAAAACAAAAAAGTTTATTCCAGGTTGCTGCTTAGACTCTGCCTAGACTGGGACAATTTTACATTTTTTGGACCAAAAAATATTATTTTATGCAAATAATTATTTCCATAACACGGATATTTTCAAGAACTAATAGAAGTCATATATATTTTAATAGGAATACCTTTGTAGGAGTTCAAAACAACTAGACAACCTTTGGCAAAAATTTCCTTAAAACTTAAAAGTACAACTGAACGTTGAATAATTTTTAGATTTTAAAATATATTTTAAGCTGCATAGTTGATGAGAGAATCACCGTAACTCATATAAATGTTAAATTTGATATATAAAAAAATGTACCACTTACCTTATGTTTTTGTGTCCACAAGTCTTCTCCAGCACCACCAGTATTTCCTCCATATTTTCCCTTATTCTTGAGCCAGTCTGCTACCACCAGTACATGCTCCAGTTCTAAAACAAAAATGATAAAACGTTAGTATTGCTGACAAAATCTTAAAATAACATACAAAATGACATTATCGGTAATTATTAAATTTTATCTAGTCCCCCGGACCTCCAAACGACCGCCATCGTATCCTCCACTTCTGTTTGTTAAAACGCGTTCCCGCCATCGACATTCGTCCACAATAAACATCACATTCGAATCAAACGGACTAAAAATTAGTTAATAACAAATTGTTAATGATGGTGATAATTGAATTAGACACTAATTAATTGTTTAAATTCTTAACTATTAGTTTGTTCTAAAATTGGTTGGGGGTTATAATAAAAATGTTGGTTTAAAGTTTGTGTGTTTCTTTTAGTGTTGTTGTTGGTTCAGTGACTTAAATTAAAGTGAATGAATGTGATTTTTTTGGCAAAGGATTTAAATTTTATAAAAGGTATTAATAATTATATATATAATATACATATGAAGTTTTTGCATTATTTCTATCATTTATGATTTTTTGACAAAATTTTGAGACTTTTTACTCATTTTTGGACTCGTTTTCAAATTGAATTTGTTTTAAACCTGAATACTTCAATTTTCTGAACAAAAATCCTCATTTTTTCTTGAAATATTGTTTAATCTAATTTTTCTAAATTTATTTGATTTTATTCGATTTTTTTAATGAAATACAATACATATATATGAAAAATGAAAAAAAAATATTTGGGTAAAACGGAGATTTTTGTTCAGAAAATTAAACAAATATATGCACATAATTTAATAAATTTATTAAGATATTTAATCTGTACGTTTCGACGCTTTATATGCGTCATCACTCAGCACTTTAGAATTTTTTACTAAAACTTGCATTTTGTTTAAATTAAATTCAAAAAATTTATACCAAAGTAAGAAGTTATTTTAGGGCACCCAGCAAATTATTAAAACAAAAAACAAAGTTTTAATTAAACTTCTACAAATTCAATTCGAATATGTACTACAAATAATTAATTTTTATTTTTTATATCGATTACATACGATGGCCAAAATATTATCTCAACTTACAAAACGTACATTAATGATATACTAAAACTCTCCAATAATAAAAGACAACTTAAGTTTAAAAGAAGCGACTTTGATATAAATATAAATATTGCTTTGCTATATAAATAATTTATATATAAAGCACAATAATGATAAAAACCTAAAAACAATAACTATAAACATTAACAATTCTAAAGTGTGGCAAGGTAAACACAATTTTAACTAAAAGTTCAAATGAATTTAGTTACTTGTAAGGACTTTTGTGGGTTAACTTATTTTACTTAATATTTTTGTCTTTCTAGATTTAATTCAAATTATTTATAAAAATATTCAGAAGACAAATTCTGTTTTTTTTAAAAAAAAACATGTACTGAAGCTTAGTCAAATCAGGACTCGAAAAGTACGCTAGATTAATTAGTCAATCCTTAATATTATCGGTTTACATTTAGCATTTGATTCAGATAAGTATCAATATTCAACAAATACACCACCAAGAAAATACACAAAATCAAAATATTTCTTCAGTATGAAGTTTT